GCCGCTTTTACGTTAGCTTACGCGGTTATCATGTTAAATGTCGATCAACATAATTATAACGTAAAGAGGCAAAATAATCCTATGACTGCCGATGAATTTAAAAGAAATTTGAAGAAGGTTAACGGCGATACTGATTTTGATCAAGACATGCTCGATGAAATATATACTTCAATTAAGTAAGTGTTATAAATATTAAAATTAGATCTAGTGCGAATATTCCAATTCTAAATATTGTTTAACTGTTATTTGTGCAGAGGGGAAGAAATCGTGATGCCAGCCGAACAAACTGGGCTAGTAAAGGAAAATTATTTATGGAAGGTTTTATTAAGAAGAGGCTCCGGACCTGAAAGTATGTATTTGAAAGTAGGCAATTCTGGCGAATTCATCGATAAAGACCTAGCTGAACACGCGTGGGCTCCCATTGTAAGTGCTCTTTGTCGAGCATATGATAAAGCACCAGACAGATCGTTGCAACGCAAAGTCGCTCAAACATTCCTTAGGTTTGTTTCCTGTTCTATCTATTATAATTCTGTTGCTATCTATTATAAATTTATTCTTGTATTAGCTACAGCTTATTCTCTCTTTTTTCAGTTGCGCGGCAATCAGCGCTTACCACAGCATGTGCAATGATTTAGATACGCTTATAGTCAGTCTCTGTAAGTTCACGGGTCTGATAATCGGCGGGAAATCCGAGCAAGTAGTTTTACATCTCGGTGGAAGCCCAAAATCCCAAATGGCAGCTCGCACTCTTTTCAAGATCACACATTTACACGGGGATGCCTTAAGAGCGTCTTGGAAGAACATCATCGATTGTTTGCAATCACTCTATGAGGCGAGATTATTACCAAAGAATCTTACGGAGGCGGAAGACTTCATTGATCCGTCCGGCAAAATATCTTTACTCCGAGAACCGACCACACCCAAAGCTTCCCCGGGTGATCAAGGAATACTTTCCACCTTTTATTCCTACATCGCTATGGACACGTCACGTCTGCCTCATCCCGCTGAAGCAACCGCGCGAAAAAAGGCCGTAGAGTTTATTGCCAATTGTTATCTTAAAGAAATTATAGACGAAAGTAAATTCTTTCAGGTAAACTCGATGATATGTAATTATTGGATTATGGCCTTATATATTTTTTAACAGCCTTCATCATTTGCAGAGTGAATCGCTCAATTCTCTTGTTGGTGCTTTGGTGTCGGCTAATCCTAACGACGAAGATATATCCATCTTTCTACTGGAGCTGTTGCTAGAAGTAACTATACAGAATCGTGACAGAGTAACGTGTATCTGGCCTGTGGTTCAGAGTCACTTGGATCGTTTGTTAACGGTGGCGGCGCGTGAGAACCATCCTTATTTGCTCGAACGAGTAGCTGTGGGCATGTTGAGATTGGCTATCAGGCTTTTACGCGGAGAAGAGTTTGCGTGTCTATCACCTCTATTACCTTTGACCCATTTGCCGTCCGCAACGACCGCGCCGTTAGCTCGACAAATCGCCTACGGTCTGTTCGAGTTACTGAAAACGGGCGCCGCAAATATCCATAGTGCGGAAGATTGGAAGGTAGTATTTAGCCTGCTGGAGTGCGCGGGTGCCGGCGCATTGGCGCCCAAGCGATCCAACACGGTTCTAGATGAAACTGCGAACACTCGGACATCAGTCTTGGATCCCAGACCCATCAGTCCTGTGCCGGAATGGGTATTAGTGTCGCCAACTGGTACCGAGGCACCGCTTCCAGTAGCCGCTGATACGATAGTGCTAGCGCGCGATCTACAGTCGCACGACTCGGCGGCGTTCGTCAAATGCTGCGAAAGTCTGAACTTTCTAGTGCGTGATATGGCGCATGTAACACCCTTCAATTTTGATCTGTGCGTCAACTGCGTTAGAACGTTTGCCGAGGCGGTGCTGCAATGCGCGGGCAAACGAAACAAGGTATGCAACTCCACAGAGGAATCGGCTGGTTATCAACAGAGTCCGGTGCAACTCCTGGACTTGATGCACACGCTGCACACGAGAATCGCACAGGTATTCCGATGGTGGGCGGAAGAAGGTAGCATTGACGATGGTATATCTCTGTGGCCGCAAGCCTGGCGACCGTTACTGCAAGGTATCGCACGACTCTGTTGCGACGCTCGTCGTCCAGTACGCACGGCAGCGATTACATATCTTCAAAGCACCTTGCTGGCGCATGATTTAGCACAGTTATCCGCGATCGAGTGGTCGCAATGTTTGGAGGAAGTATTGTTTCCATTGTTGGCGCAATTATTAGGTCCGATCGCGTCCAACGATCCTATCGGCGTCGAAGAAACAAGAGTCAGGGCCGCAATGTTACTCTCCAAGGTATTTCTTCATCATCTGACTCCACTGCTAACTCTACCTGGTTTCCTGCCGCTTTGGTTAACAGTGCTGGAACTTCTGCGCGCGTATATGCACGCCGATAACAGTGAGCTCTTGTTCGAAGCGATTCCTGAATCGCTGAAGAACATGCTGCTGGTGATGTCGTCGGCCAATGTTCTAGCGCCGAGTTCCAATCTCTGGGCACCTACGTGGAGAGCGATCGATGCATTTTTGCCGAACCTGAAAACGGAGCTCTTTCCTGAACCGCCTGTTGCGGTTCTGCCGCCTCCGCAACTGCCACAGCAGCAATCGTCACAGCCGCAAGTTATTAGCTTGGTTGGCCAACAGCAGCCTTTGTCTTTTCCGGGATCTATAGCGCCGCAACCAGAAAATATTCCTTCTTCGCCCGATATCGAGTGCTCTAATGAGAATAATATAGATACGAAGACCGTGACGCAGCCATTGGACATTCTAAATTCTGTGCAATCTGGCGGAGTTCCGGTTCCAGTTCCGTTACCGACATTGATGTACAATACCGAGGGTAAGGAAACGCAGCAAGTAATCACTCTAGTTAGTCAACCGGCACCCAGCGTGTCCAGTCCAGTCGCGGTGCAACCAACAGCTCAGAATTTCTTTGACATTTGCTACTCGGCAAACTCTTTGATCGAAAAGATAGACGAACGACAGCAACATCAACAGGAGCAGCAACAGCAACAGTCAGTGGCGCCAAACGAGGAAGAGTATAGCAAGTTGACGAAGAATATGACGCAAAATGTTGGTTTGGCAGACGAGAATCGCGATTTGATATTCGCGATGAGAAAATATGAGGAATGGAAACAGCAACAGGAGCAGCAACAAATGCTGATGCAGCAACAATGCACGCAGCATGTGCAATCGACGCAGTATCAGCATCCGACGACGGAAAATTCCCCGTATCGCGTGGATCCATCTGAGGTGAATCAATGCCTTGCATCTTAGCAGGATCTTGAGGAGCCAATCGTCCGGAACCGATTGACTCTTACAATTAAAAACGCGTTCGCTTTGTCTCGATTAAACAATTTGATTCTTTTACAAACAACACTAAGATAACGCAATGATCAATACGTAAAGATTTATTAACAAATATAAACATACTTGGTAATATCTTTACGCGAGCGTACTTGCAATTGTGAAAAATCAATATAAACGTCCATGATAGAATCTCGTTGAAAAAAGAAATCAGATCTATTTCTTCCAAAGTGATAAAAGTTGTGATAGAGAGAACGTAACCGAATATTTTATTTGCAGACGACAGTAGATTCCACGGGGACGACGACATTTAACTCCGCGGCGTATTTTAACGAGGATCCGGCGGCGGATCTCCTCTTCGTCGTCACTAATCCTTGACCACTGTATATTTCTTATGTATAAATTGTATTATATAAAACATTTCTACAATGCGTGATCATGTTGATCGTGTAGAACAGTATCGAGAGTGATCGATTATAGACAAAGGAGGATGAACGTAGGCGCAGAATCATTGTATCTTTGGTTTGTATATTTGGAAAGCACTCATTATATACAAATAATATATATCTGTACTATACGCATGTGTACACGTTATTGCTAAGATTATCGTACAACGTATAATCTTAGCAATATTAGTGACAACACAATACAGTTCTCGGCACCACTCCTAGCACTCGCTACGTCGTATTTCCATTTTTGAATTTTTTTTTTTTCATTATGGACGATAGGAGCTCTTCGCGAATAAGCCAAATGCGTAGGCCAAAATCATTTTGGAAAACGATCGATTAGTTATTTGCCATTGATTGTTTTATCGGCGTGTTGCATGTATTTTACGTAGAACGGTGAACAGGATTATCGATTCATACAAATCCTCCTTAAGCATTTACAAATTCTACTACTACAACAGGTAAGAGAACTTTTCTCTCATGTCTGCATGAATACATGTTAGACACGTACATGTTCAATGCGACTCATAGAAAATGTCGAATCAATTGACAATTCCGTTAAATAATGATCAAGAAACCGTTAAGATTTTAATGAACTTAATTTCAATTGTAAATAAAATTGGAAGCTCTTGCCAGTCGTGTTTCACATGAACAGACAGGTAAAAGAAATCGCTAAGCATTCATAGTGTCAAAAATTGAACTCTTTATGAAATTACATCGGTTTCATAGCCTCTATTTCTAATGTTATAACTTATACTTTTAACGCAATTTGAATGTTTCTTCATTCGTTCAGTAAACCAATCTGTACATATGCAAATAATATATTGAATAAGAAGAGATTTATATATGCATCATGTTCTTGATGCAATATATTATATACTAATATATAATATAAATACTAATATGTAATATTAATCTTCGTATTAAGTGCTTAATGTTAATTATTCCACAATATGAGAAAGTGTGCAATAATATTATATATAATACTGACTGTAGATGTAACATTGATATCAATATAAACATTAATCAATGTATTATTGCGCAATATTGTGAAACAATGTTGATTGCGCAGGGATTGCGTGTCGACGCTGCATTTCAATGCAATTCGACATTACTGTAAATACTATGAACATTCATTTGAAATATTTCTTCCCCTTCATTTTTTCCCCTTATTTTTCTTTAGAGGCCTCTCCCTTTCTCGAGGATCTATCTATGTTTATTCTTAGCTCTTAGGGTCAGAACATTTTATTATATCCCTGAGAACAATGCCCTCATTTTTTTTACTCGAACAACACACGCTTTTTTCCGCGTGGATACTTGAACTATCAAAATAATATTAAAAATCAAAAAATTCTGTTGCTCACTTGAGTGTGCATTTTATGTTCGTATATAGATAATATATTTATTCAATATATATTTATAATTCAATATATAAATATAAAGCTGCGATTAAACGCCACGTCTTTGGTCGTCAAAAACCATGCAATAAAACAAATTCTAACTGTAAAAATACATAAAAATATATCATTTTATTTCTCTTTTACTCTCTCGATTTAATCTCGCGAACAGAAATGGACGCTCTATCTATAAGATTCACATCGATGCGTATCGATGCGTTCCAGTGTATCGAACTGTCTTTCATTAGTTCATCATTAAACCCTCCCTTTCTTGCAATTAATTGAATCAGCGAGATGAATTGGACGGAATTCGTTAAGTTATTATAGCGCTTCGTCTACAATAATAACCCAACGTCTTACATTTCTCGCAGAGATGCTGAGGATGTACCTTGCTCTGGTCGGATACGTCTAAACCATCGGGTTTTTCCAACGGCCTCTGAAAATAATAGAAATGATTTTATACCCACACTCTACGTTTCTCACAAAAGATAAGAATAGAAATCTTGTTAGATAATATCTCATTTTCTCACACAAACATGCCCTCTTTTTTTGTTCAGTACAATTTATCATTTTTGTCATTAATTTAATTAACGTTATTAACGTAATTTACATTAATACATTAATACTGATAGCATTAATATTATTGAAATACTCCGATGAGATTTCGATTTTCGAGACTTGGCGATTGTACAGCGAATCTGGGATCGTTTAAAGTTTAAAGCATTCGCTCGCGACACGGCATAGCTAATGTTCAATTATAATAGGAATTTCGCGAATGTTTTTCGGGAACCGTAACGTAACGATTACCGGTGACTCCGAGTATTTCTGCCCACCGGGCAGGCAAAAGAGCGAGCGAGTGAGCGTGATTATGCGACTATAATTAGCATTCGCGTTGGTTTACACGAGATTTCGTTCTCTTGGCCGCGCAATATTTCGAGAGAACGAAACGGTTCCAAGAGTCGAATCTTTTAGCGAATCTGACCGGGACTTCGTCGAGGAGAATCATGACTAATTTTATATTTAACGATTGATCACGGAAAGAACCCGTAACGTGGGGGCGGGTGAAGGCAGACACGAAGGAGGCGGACAAACTGGACTCCTCCTCGCTCACCTGTTTGTGAGGATACACGTTTATGTGACACTTAATGCATTCCTGGCCCATATTGGCCCAGCTGTTGCCCGACATCCATTTGCGCTTGCACTTGGGACATTTGTATTCACCAAAGCACCGCTTCTTACCCTGATACGGCGTCAGACCCTCGCCCTTCGGCCGTGCCTGTGAAAATCACGTAAATTATCCTAATTGGGAAATTCATTTCTTTTATTTGTATTCTTGCAGATATCATAGAATGCAATGTGACGACAACTGGACGATTGAATCAATCGTCGAGCATACGTGGGTGTATGAATGTACATTGGCTCCAATTAAGTGATGGACCGTAAATCTTTGCATATCGGTAGATGTTATTAATAGGTCTGTTCACATTGCTTACACTTTTTGCACCCAGCATCTTTGCTTCTCCTCTTTTCAATATATATTTGTGTCATTTTAAGTGAAAAAGTTTTTGGAGATTTTAATGCGAACAAATTTCTAAATATCGTATAGAATTGAGAATGATGACGTACGTTTAATGTTTTATTAATAAATTTCATCAAATAATAAATATCAATAAATAAAATAGTAATAAGAAAATGTTCAAGACGTATGAGAAGCTGATTCGCAAAACATTTATGGTACTCATACATATGCAGCTTCCGAAAAGATATTATTCTTAATTCTTTAAGGTCGGGAATTTTCTAATAAAGAAACTTAAAGAAGACCTTGTTTTCTAAAGGCTTTGAAGTCGAATTCGATTCTGGCCTTAGAATACTAAAATTCAAAAAATAATCTGATTATTACAGGAAATTCAGTTTTGGGAGATCTTTTTGGTATCGCTGAATAAATGTCAAAAGGCTAGCAGTTTAATAAAGAATTATATATCATAAGGCTTATAATCGAAGTTTAAAAATCAGTACGAAAATCAATTCTAACTATTTGCATAGCACAATCGTAAGCTTCAAATAAATTAAAACTGAAACATGATGTTATATATATTAACCAATTAAAAATTCCCTGAGTTTCATGTGTGTGTGTGTGTGTGTATGATAATCAGATTATTTTTTTTTAATTCTACCCACCATATTGAATCCACTATTTTTAAAATTTTTTATTTTTGATCTTAGATTCGAATAAAGCATTATTAAATTAGCTATGGGCCAAGTTTCATGAAGATCGAGTGAACAAACAAAATAAAAGGAGATAACCCAAATACCAATCCACAAAAAGTTAAAGTTTTCAGTACGAAAATGTTTAAAGATAGCAATCTTTATATTGTTAATATAAAAACAGTTTTTGATCATAATTTAATCTAATCTAACATATAATTCGTATAAGTATAAATATTGTAAGAAATAAAGAGAGAAATTAGTTACTTTGTAATAAAACGAGTTTTAAAGCTTACCTTCTTTTTTTTATTACATGGAATCATAATATAAAAATGATATATTTTCACTAAAAATTATAAAAATGAAAAATGTAAATGAAAACCCCCATGGAGCACAACGTCGCTGCAAAGCGCTCTGAGAGCGTTCTTGCGTTCTCAAAACTGCTGTCAGTTATTGTACACTTTTATTAAATGTGAATAACTCAGCAGATTTCAAGTCACACTGATCAAGAAATGATTACGCGTAAAAAACGTTTTAAAGCTTCAAAAGCAATTCAGAAGAATTTTTTTAGCACAGAAACATTGAGATTTTGCCGACATTATTTAAGAAAATTTTATTTGACAATAAAATAAATAAAAGATAAATTTGTTGAATATTTTCTAGAATATCTAAATTTATAAATATGAATGTCTCGGCTAGTTTCGGCGATAAGTATATAATATATTATAATTACAATATCACATGCACATCCTGGTGGAAAAATTTTGTTGAAATTATTTTACGTTTTGTTTATTTTTCGATTTAATAAAATTTCGATTTAATTTCAGCGATTTTTAGTTGAAACATTCATTTTCAACAAAGTTTCAAAATTTCAGTTCAATAAATGCTTCATCCGCTTTACAGCACTTTCTGAACGCTTTGCAGATATTGTTGTGCTACGTGAAAAATGCTATAAATATGCTATAGGACTGCATTTATTCTGCGCTGATTGTATGCGTTTATAATGTGCTTTTCATAGTAGATTTTGAAAGCGCTAAAAACTTATTATACCTGCATAAGCTTTTTTAGCGTCTTCTAAGCATTGCTGTGCTACGCGAGATCTATCACAGAAATTTTATTTACTGTATTCGTAACCTTATCGTAACATTATCGTGCCTTTATCTATAGTAATTACAACAATATATTAAAACAACATAAATATTTGAAAATTGAACGCTTTTATCTGTGCCCTATGATTTCTTTTTTCATTTCTAAATCATTTTTATTCTATCAGTAACTTTTAAGAGATACATAAAGTCATAATAATATCATTATGATTTTTGACATTTTTGTGTTCTCTACCTGTATTATAGATAAATAAAAATGACGTGAAGAACGTCATTATAATCAGAACTCATCAGGAGAAGTGACTTAATTCGCTCACCCTCATATCGCGATAATTGACCGTATGACGTCATATGTTCCAGAAATACTGTTTGTTATATGTCAATTAAGCGCTCAATTAAGCCACGCATATCTCGCTATTGTTCCATCGATGCGCATCGTTTACGTGTATTGCTAAATTTAACAATAGGCCCTTTCAAATCGTTTTGTGTTTAATAAAGATTTATTTTTGAATTGTGTCAAGCTAGAAACAAGAGAGAAGGTCTTTACTTTGTTTTTACATTTATTATTTAATTATTTTTCTGAGAGACGAAAAGAAAAGACTGAACTAACCAATATCGATGTTCTATTCGATGCTCTATCCAATTAACCCATCTTTATGTTTTTATAACAAAGATTTGATAAGATAGATTTAAGTTGCGTTGGACGATGTTGATAAAACATTATACGATAACTAATCCAAGGTTTCCATGAATCAGATAATAAACTGATTAATCTTATCTTGAAATCTTGGAATCGAATCATATGATATAATAAGGATTACATTCGATTACAGTACTCTCACTACTATGTGCATTTGACTCTTTAAACTTCATTTCATTTCATTTGATTTATATTTTTATCAGAGATCTCTAGAGATTGTTGCAAAATTGCAAATTCTAATCGACTCCAAATTATTCACGAAATCCTATATGATACGTATAATTTTTATTCAAATTTAAATATGTAATTACTGTATATAATTATTTAAAATATTTAAAGTAATTATAAAATGATTAAAAATACAGGAACTAGTATTTAATAAACAGAAAAATATCAAGTTTTAAGTGTATTGAAAATTAATTCAAGAGATCATCGATACATATTACATATTATTAGAAGAATAATTTAAAGAAGAAATTACCGACCTGTGGACAATCCTTGATGTAGTGTCCTTTCTTGAAGCACAAATGACACAGGTACGTTGACGGCGGTTTCTTCGCCGGTTTCCGGTCGCCTACTGTTAACTCGTTAAAGTGTACCGCTAAATCCGCGATACTTTCCGTCCCGCTATCTCTCATGGGTCTGACGGATCCAGACTGATTCAACGCGTTTTGATGTGAATAAGTCTGCGACGTCGTACCGGGAAAATTGCTCCAGATCGCAGGAAGTAGCTTGCTCTAAAAAATGTAAACGGGTAATCCAATAGACAACTTATTAAAAATAGCTTGTTATTTTAAATAAAGCGATCGGTATTTTAAAAGAGCCTCAAATAATAAAATGCTTAGCTTCTTCTGATCTGGATCTTTCACATATTTTTATCATTATTTTTTCAACTTGATACTCAGCAGGCAATCTATTTCCTAAAGTTATAGATTTAAGATAATCTAGAAATAAATTCTTTGTTTGCCAGGTTTTATTATGCTTTGTTTGCTAGACTTTGTTTGATAAGTTAGATATTGACTCAATGATAAATCCTGATCTTCAAGTGTCCCAATTGTAGTGAAGATCGTGAGGTACCTGATCGGGTGGTTGCGACGGGTTTTGTTCAGTAATGGCCAGGTAGAACCAATTGAATAGAGGCGGGTAGGTCGATTGCTGAAGAGTCTTTTGACTCGAAGCACTTATGTTGTTGATCGCACCGTAACCGATCCGAGTTGACTCCTGCAACTGCAGGCGTTGCACCGCAGGTGTCGAATGGCAAGCGGCCATATTTTTATCTAATCGACTCGGTAAGTTTATCAGTTCCGGATGTCGTCGTCGTCTCGTGCCCTCAACGACAATTTTCTTCGGTAATCGTTTATCATTTCCTTGCCCTTGAATCCGAGTGACTTTCATTTAATTTTCATCGAAAACTATGCTAATATTTTTAATATTCCTTAATATTTTACTGTGATCGATAATGCGACAACCACTAACGATTAGCACGAATGGCTTCCAACTTTAGAACTAGTATTACAAATTTTCATAAAATATCATTCACTTGAAATATCATTATCGTTTACGAGAATCATTGATGTTTCGAGGATACTACCATGAAACCGGAGATATTCGATGAGGAAGGCATCCAAGAAGTGAAAATATTATAATTTCATTGCACTGCAACTTCGGAAATGCTCCAAGTTTCTCTTTTTATTCTTTTTAGAATTTTATTATAAAATTTCGTTGGGTCACTTCACGTCAGTCGTTCTCTCGATGTAACAGTTCTCGGAAAAGTGCCATCTTCTTTCGAATGGGTTCTTCAAAATGAGTGCTTAACTTTTACGGGGATCGCTTTTACGCGCTTTTACGCACATGTTGAACGTATCTCTCTGCATATGTTACCGGAATGTGTATTCATGTATACACACACACACACATGGGAACATTGTCCTCGAATTCTTCGATATTTTCAATTCGATACTTTTTGCTCTCAGCAGCCACGGAAGTTCATTCATAAAATATTCCACATCGTCACATTTATCACCAAGTATATTTGTCCAATTTTTTTATATTAATCTTGATGTTAGTCCACACAGTAAAGTCTCAGTTGTTAAAACGTTCTAAATTACGTTCTAAATTATTAATGAATCATCTTCTTCTTGCGAGATCACGTTTAATGGTTCTACAATATATAAGAGAAC